GCTCTACCAATTGAGCTAACAAGCCAACTGGGAGCAGGCCGTTAAGTTGATTCGTAATAAACCCGTGAAAGTGATAAATGAGATACAATGAAATATATGAAGTTCATATATTTTGTACTGCGGTATTAGATACATATGATGCACGATCCTCGCAGTAGATAGCGCTATTTAAGCAATAGCGAAAATCAGACCTGAAAAAAATCAGGCCTGTACGGGATTCGAACCACTGACCTCTGCGATACTAGTGCAGCGCTCTACCAATTGAGCTAACAAGCCAACTGGGAGCAGGCCGTTAAGTTGATTCGTAATAAACCCGTGAAAGTGATAAATGAGATACAATGAAATATATGAAGTTCATATATTTTGTACTGCGGTATTAGATACATATGATGCACGATCCTCGCAGTAGATAGCGCTATTTAAGCAATAGCGAAAATCAGACCTGAAAAAAATCAGGCCTGTACGGGATTCGAACCACTGACCTCTGCGATACTAGTGCAGCGCTCTACCAATTGAGCTAACAAGCCAACTGGGAGCAGGCCGTTAAGTTGATTCGTAATAAACCCGTGAAAGTGATAAATGAGATACAATGAAATATATGAAGTTCATATATTTTGTACTGCGGTATTAGATACATATGATGCACGATCCTCGCAGTAGATAGCGCTATTTAAGCAATAGCGAAAATCAGACCTGAAAAAAATCAGGCCTGTACGGGATTCGAACCACTGACCTCTGCGATACTAGTGCAGCGCTCTACCAATTGAGCTAACAAGCCAACTGGGAGCAGGCCGTTAAGTTGATTCGTAATAAACCCGTGAAAGTGATAAATCAGATACAATGAAATATATGAAGTTCATATATTTTGAACTGCGGTATTAGATACTGCAGAAACCTCACAACAAGACTGACTGAACACAGACGGGCGACGAGGAAAGGTGATGTCAGCAATCACATTGCTGAACACCATCGACTTACCAACCACAACATTGACTGGGACTCTGCGCAATGCCTAACCTACAGCACTGACTATTTTCAACGACTGACTCTGGAAAGCTGGTTTACTAACTTAGAACAGACTCCCCTAAACAGATGTCAACAACTACCCGCCCCATACAAACGACTCATTCACGACATAAACATCACAAACGACCGAAAAAGAACAACCTAACTTTACCGACAGACCGAAACAGACCAATCACGACCGACTTACGTCACTTGAGTCTTACAGCCAATAACATCACGGCAAAACCAACCGATCATTTCACACGAACTGGAATAAAAACATTCTACTGACAACAATCATTCACTTGACTCTGATGATGACTTCCGCACAGGTTGTCGAAACGTCAGTCACTGCCACCGACAACAGTCCTTCTCAGGACTACACTCACCCGGACGATCAGACTACACCTTCACATGTTACCCCCGGGTTCAAACCATTTACCGCAGTGTTTTCAAAATTGGATCTTTATCTAGGATTCCACTAGATTGAACTAGATGAGGACTCCAGAGATATAACCACATTTGCCACACATGATGGGTTATTCAGATACAAGAGGCTGAGTTTCGGAGTAAAGTCAGCACCTGAGAAGTATCAGCAGATAATAAGCCAGGTTGTCTCTGATATCGGTGGGTTTCAGAACATTGCCGATGACTTGATAGTGCATGGCAAGAATAACGAGGAGCATGACAGGCATCTTCATAAAGTATTGCAGCGATTAGGGGAGAGGAATCTTACCCTCAACCCTCAGAAGTGTCAATTCAGGATGGAGAAAGTAGTCTTCATGGGACTTCTAGTGTCAAGGTACTGTATCGGTCCAACAGAAGAGAAAGTCCGTGCTTTACTTGAATCAAGCCGCCCAACCACACCAACAGAGGTTAGGAGCTTCCTGGGGATGGTCGGCTTCAATGCACGTTTTATTCCCAACTTTGCCACCATTGCAGAACCTCTACGAGCGATCTCTAAGCAGGGAGTACCCTTTTTATGGGACAGTGAGCATGAAGCGTCATTTTAGGAACTGAAACAGCAGTTAGCCAAGGCACCTGTTCTGGCATACTTTGACAAAGAGGCACATACTCGAGTGATAGCTGATGCAAGTCCGGTGGGACTAGGTGCAGTGCTAGTCCAGGAGAAGAATGGTGTGGGCAGAGCCATCTGTTACGCCAGCAGGAGCCTTAGCAGTGTAGAAAGGAGATACAGTCAGACAGAAAAAGAAGCGCTCGGACTAGTGTGGGCGTGCGAACGGTTCAACCAATACTTGTACGGCTTGCAGACCTTTGACTTGGTGACAGATCATGAGGCCTTGAAGGTGATTTACTCTAGAGGATCCAGGCCATCAGCACGCATTGAACGCTGGGTGTTGCTATTGCAACCATATAGTTACAAGGTATGTTGCGTCGCATCACGAGATAAAATTGCTGATGCCCTGTCACGTCTGACAAAGTCCAAGCGTCAGAAAAATGTCGTTATGACGATAAACATGTTCGGATGGTTGCTCTTAAAGCAGTCCCCGTAGCCATTAAAATCCAGGAGATAGAGAGTGCTTCTGCAGAGGATGAAGAGTTACAAGCAGTGCGTAATTTCCTTGTTAGTGGAAATTGGGAGGAGGGCCCACGGTCATTTTTGATGGTGCGCAACGAATTGACGTTCATTGGTCAAGTTATACTACGTGGAACACGAATTTTGATACCCAAAGTGCTGAGATTAAGGGTTTTGGAACTTGCTCACGAAGGTCACCAGGGAATCGTCAAAATGAAGGAGAGACTCAGTTCTAAAGTGTGGTGGCCAGGAGTTGATAAGGCTGTGGAACTGAAGTGCCGTGAATGTTACGGGTGCCAACTGGTCACAAAGAAGACATTTACTCCGCCTGTGAAAATAACCAGGATGCCAGAGAGGCCATGGCATGATCTAAGACTAGACTTACTTGGGCCTATGCCAACAGGAGAATATCTGCTGGTCATAGTGGATTACTTCAGCCGATGGGTGGAAGTTGACATCATTAAATCTACCGCTTCTGAGACGATAATCAAGTGTTTAGATAAACAGTTCTCCAGATATGGGGTACCTAATACCCTGAGAACGGACAACGGACCCAATCTAGTGTGCACAGAAATGGAAGAATACTTGAATGAAATGGGCAGCGAGCATAGATTGACCACACCACTATGGCCTAGGGCGGATGGGGAAGTCCAAAGACAAAATCGTTCCCACTTGAAAACAGTGAGAGTGGCCCATGCTGAGAAGAGAGACTGGAGACTAGAGTTGAATAAGTATCTTCTGGCCTACCATTCCACCCCGCACGTAACAGTTGGCCAGAGCCCAGCAGAACTGTTACTCGGGAGGAAATTGTCTACTAAGTTGCCAGAGGTTACTGATCTAGAGGAATCTGAGGACCCAGGATATCAGCAGGCCAGGGATCGCGATTCAGAAAAAAAGCAGGTTGGGGCTGACCATGCCGACAAGAGGCATCAGGCAGCAGAGAAATGCACAGGAAAAGGAGATTTTGTGTTACTGGAGAAGAGGAAGGAGAATAAATTTTCACCACATTACGAGAAAGAGCCATGCCAGGTAATAGCACGTCATGGGGATCAAGTCCAGTTAAAGTCACCTCAGGGCGTGCAATACATGCGAAACATTCAGCATGCCAAGCACTTTGTTACACCAGCTACAGAGCCAAAGGGATTGAACCCTGCAGAACCTGCAGATGTACTTTGTGAACAAGGGTGTGGACAAGGACTCACACCCAGCCTAGAGATGGGAGCCAGTGGCCCATGCTGAGAAGAGACTTATGGCAAAAAGAGAGACTTATGGCAAAAAGACCCAGTCTTGGCCACTGGGAGTACTTTATCCACGAACTCTTTCTCAGCCTGAAATACAAATGTTGTGTTGCTTTGCAAGCGAGATCAATCGTAATTTGCGCATAGTCTGTAAACGGATTCACTATAAAATGCATGGGAGCACATGGGATCACATTTGTTCGATCTGCATTTGTCGTACTCGATTACCAATCCTGCTCGATAAGCTAACAACGTTTGATAAAATGTGATCCAACACATGTTTGAACTAGTTGGCTTTATCGTCAGCCCTCGTACGGTATCCTTCAGAATTTTCAGTAAAATGTGTATTAATAGTATAAAGAGTACAAATGTTAAAAAGGTGCTACGAAGAATTCGTCGAAAACTAAGCCGGTTTTAATCGTGGCTGCAGCGACGGGCTTCTCTGTTCATGATAAACCTCACAAATGAAATTAAACAAACGGTAAAATAAAGCACTTCGAAAATTCGAGAATATCATATCCAAGTTTAGGTCAGTATATTTGCATTGCTCTTTCTACTTTTTTATTTGCCAAGATTTGTAAAACAAAAACGATTTTGTTTTTGTTAATGGTCACTCATTCACAACATGACGTGATTTTAAGTATTTTGTTGACGATTTTCAACAAATTCTTAAAAATTCCACATTAATTTCCCCAAAGTAAACTTTACATATTTTGAAAGATCCTTAACTCGGGTATTGTTATTCTTGATCCTACGAAATTCTAACAGAGGCAAATCATCGTTTATTTTCGCCTACAGTTTTACGAAGCATGGGAGAGCCATAACTTCTTTACTTCTCTTGAATACTCAGATTAACCTGATGTTTATGAAATCATGGTGTTTAGACCATAGCAAGTTTTACAACCAATTGGAAATGTGACGGCTTTTTCTGGCGCAGCAGTTTTGACAAGCGATTCAAGTGAATTATGACTAATATCAACCCATTTTGCAAGTGTTTAGGATCGCCAAAATTGTGTCTAAGTTGAAAACGGCTTTCATCGTTTTTCTCTCGAATTAAAACATATTTCAAGGAAAAAAACACATGGCATTCATATACTTTCTAAAGGCTATCTGTAGGCAAAAGACGAGTGAATTTGATTTTTTTTAATTTCAGCTTTGCCGAAGAATTGCGATTTTGTTTGATTCTTGCACGGCTGTGCTCTTAATTCTCAGAATTTTACCTTCATAATTGTTTATGTGGCAGTTGTCGCCAGAATATCCAAACAGGCAGGTATAAGGATCAGAGTTGTTATTGCAGGAGCTACCATTCAAACAAGGATTAGATGAAAAAGGATCCTCCGCGGGAGGCATCATTTGGGGCTGAGTCCCTGACGAAGGAGCTTTAATAAAACAAATTGAAAGCCATTACAAAGGATTAGTCTAGCTGACATATATCGATTTATTATGGAATGGCTACCCGAGTGAGCAAGATGGGCTCATCCTACTCGCCCTGATCTCGCGCGAGGAAAAAAAATTACCTGGAGCAGATATACAAAGGTTGTAGTTTTTGTACAACTTCGGCGATAGAGTCGCAAAAAGTGGCAGAGGCCAGTCAAAACAAAGAAAAAAGTAACAAATCTCGTGGTTTTATTGTGCTACAAAAGCAGTTGCTCTACTTTCGCGTTTCTCGATGTAAACAAGTCTTCATTCTCGATAAAGCGCTGTTATGCAGTGTAGCATTCACATTTTGATCGGTAATAATTTATTTATTGTCGATGAAAGGGGAGGTGGTCGCCCAATCTTCCGAGCAACGAGGTTCAGGCATAAAACGCTCAACACTATCATTTTGCTATACAATAAATCATTTATTGACCAAGCTTGTTCGGTAAAGATGGCTGAGTATTAGCCTCCTTTTTTCCGTTTTTATGGACCTCGACTTCTACTTGGTCCATAAAAGAACTCGGTCGTTAAATATGCCATGCTGTCCAAGCGTAAGGTTGGAATAGAGAGGGTGGACCAGACAATGTCCGTTAATGCCATCTATTTTTTCTCCATCAAAACTTTCTATTCCTACTAGGAAAAAGAGGCAAAGCGTTTGGCCACTTCTGTTAAAGTTTGACAACAATATATGGACGAGGAGCTGAGAAACTAGGCAGGATTTGAACTTGACATGTTAACCCAATATCTACCGCATGCAGATGTTGGGTTGTCGTGTCAACTTCACATGCTGCTGTATATTGACTAAATGTCCTCGACCTATCAGATGTCCATTTGTAAGTCTGATGTATAATACCCCGTTTTAATTAAGAAATATTAGGTCACGTGATGCTCTTAAACCAATCGCGTGCTAGCAAAAGTATTTGATAGATCATAAAGCACAATCAAAGCAGTAATATATTTTACCGTCCACACATTCATGTTGGTTTCCATTATCCTTCAAAACGCATCGTTTCCCGTTCGCACATTTATCCCCAGTGCATTTGTCGTCCGCTGAAAAAGAGAGGAGTTTTGTTTTTTTTAAGCACTGAATTAAATTTAAGAGCCAATTGATATTAATGCAAAAAAGGCCATAATTATCACGGAAATCACGAGTTAACGACGAAAATTGGATTACCGGTATATTTCAATGAAAACGATACACCTTGCGTTATGTCACGAGTCTATCATTATAGCAGTTGGGATAAATAATGGTAATTCAACTGAGTGGAGTGCAATTTGGACATACGCGTGATTTCAAAATCGAACAAACGCGCAATGCGAGTTCGATATAAAATCACAAGTATGATTTCAGACCAAAATTGCACTCCACTCAGTTCAATTACTACTTTATTACATCGATTTTGAAATCGCCCAAATACAGGACGTAGTCAATTCAAATATTTTATTGATGCAGTACTGAGCCGGTTTTTAAATAAAAAGTGGAACCAGAAATGCTTTTACATCTCATTTTGTACACAAAACAGAAAGACTTTAACCTCATTTGTAAAAAACTCAGTCAAGCGTATAATAATGCGATTTAGAACAAAATATGGTGCGCAGCAATTAGAGCCAATCAGATTAGAGGGAACACCAGTGATTTCAAAATGGATGTAATAAATAGCTAAACGATTCGCAAATCATTTCTCTCGCTCAGAAAAGCATTTTATTTTCACTGAGAAATATTCCAGAAGCCTAACACTACATGATTTTCGCTTACGTTCTTGTTTATACTCGTCAACCAGAACTCTCCAAGCATTCTACATCGGGAGACAAATTATGATTTCTTGGCTATTATTTTTTGCTGGGATTATTGAAATAAGGTCACTCAACTAGCGATGCGAATCAGTCCTCACGCTTCAAAGTACAAATAAAAATACCCCAAATATTAACTCTGCTACAAAAGCGTGTTAGCTTATCAAGTTGACATCTCATCCAATATACAGGACAGAGAAACTTACCGATACCATTCGTGCAGTAACGCCAATACTTAGAGTTGCAGTTTTCCTTGAACTTGAATAGATTGTACAAGTAGAATTCACCGCAGTTTATTACTTCAAGGTCCCTTTTTGCTTGGCAACTCTTAGATTTTGTGGCTGTACAGAACGTAAGAGTAAGTTTGCCGACTCCGAATGACGGATGAGCATCTTCAAGGTAAGCTCGAATTTCTGTACCGCAAGTACCCGACCGAGGGACGTTGGACGCCAGGGCATTCCCTGCATCTCCAGAAACACGGAACCAGCCCCACTTTCCATGTAGGTCAGTGCCATCACATTTACTCAAGTCTGATTTTATCAGCCCTGAACGATCACTTTCATTCAAGAACTTGTAAGTCCCTTCGCATGGATTTCCTGCAAAAAAAAAAGAATAGGAGCAGTTGAAGATCTTGCAAGCAGATTTATCCACCTCTAGCTCTGCATTTGAGTTTTCTTCCCGTATGAAGACATCTTAAGTTAATTTCAGATCATTGATTTCATTTCTGTTTTTGTAATTTCTGGAAGGATCTAAAAATTACCAATCACGAGTTCCACGAAATCTGCTGGTCAAAGGGACTTTACGTTTTCTGCGTATCAGTTCATTCTCGAGCAAAACATCTATAAGCAGCATGCAAGGCTTATGTAAAAATCACTCGTGAGATGCCTTATTCTTTAGCTGAGAAGAATGTTGGATGAAGTAAATTTCTAAGTTCGAAACTTTCTTTCGAAGCTTCTCGTGAATGTCGGCGAATGAAGTACAGAAAAAAAGCAGTTTTCTCTTGAGTGATATCAAATGATGATAAATTTGCTTTACAGACCAGTTCAAACAGGGTTTTTTTTTGGAAATTGCATAGTTTAAGTTATAACAAATAAATCTAAACTTGAGTTCCAGAAAGATTTCCGTACATTCCCATGTGCTTCATCACTGTAGAGCGCGTTTGAGACTGAGGCTCTCTGTCAGAACAGTGTTGGTTTAACCCGAGATCTTGCCCAAACTTGTAAGAACCGTGGCAATCGTCTCATTTCTGTCATTCTGATCTCTAACAGAATCCATAAACAGTTCAAATTGAACCAACTTCTTTTCAAAATTAAACTAATTTTTTTTACAAATCAAACGAGATCAACTAAAATAATTTCAGTTTAGAAAAGACTTAACTGATAAGTAAACAAGATAGCGCAGCTCCGTTTTGTCAATCTGGTACTCACTTTCATTAACCGAAATTTTATATGTGAGATTTGTGAAGTTTACAAAGCTCAGCTGGAACTTACCAGCCAGTTAAAATGTCTCAACTTTCGAAAAACGACGACCGAGTTATCCTCTCGGTACAGTTGATCCTCGATTATCCAGACCTCGATTGCCCGGATTTCTCAATTGTTCGGACTTTTTCTCTTGCCCCAGTTTTTTATGAATATTTATTAACCATAATTAACATCTGTAACCATATTCTTTTTAAAACTACAGCGTTGAAAAGCGATGTTCTCCTTTAAGACAAACTGACTTACTTCAACATTTTAGGCCAATGTAAGAACATTTTTCGTTAATTTTAATTGTTAATACACACGTGTAGAGATATTCATAGGCGACATTGAAGATGTCAAACCAAATCTTTTTTCAAAATGATCAGTAAATTTTTTGTTTCAGGATTAAATGTCGCTTTCTTAATTAAATCAGTTTTGTACTTCATTAAAATTCATATTCTCGATTATCCAGACCCTCGATTATCGCAACTACTTCGTCTATTCCCAACGAGTCCGAATAATCGAGGTTAGACTGTTTACATCTTATATGCGATCCACATGATATGCATTTATTACGGTCCGTTGCTTAAAATAACCTAAACATCCTATGGAATCATCTCGAATCACTTCTCACCATTAAAGAGTATTTTGTTTTTCTGGTAAACAGAATAAAGTCAGCGGTTGAAGGATAGGCGATATCACAAATTCATAAATCAGTATGTATTGACTCCATTCGCATGCGCTTGGCAAGCTTTGGATTTTATACGCAGAAGCTCCGTCAGAAAGTTTTTTTTTTTTTTAATTTTTTCATTTCCGTTTATTGACTGATTAATTTATTGAGTGATTGATTTACTTTCACCGAAAGGATTCGCGTCTGAATGTTTTGCATCAGTCGAGTGAAATGACATTTGAAAAACTGGCGATTTTCAACAAGACTTAGCGCTATTTATAGGTAGCAGGTGATGGATATGAATAGCTCTGCAAGCGGCTGTTAGGTTTATCAAAATACTATAAAAAGTGAGATTCAGTCATCTTGACTGGTAAAAGCTTAAAAACTAATATTTTTGAACATGTGAAAATTTCAATTCTCTTCTTGATCAAAATATTTCTAACATCGGTTTTCGCTTGCCGTCTTTCATTCGTCTGCTCTAACTGAGGACCTGGCCAGATTTAAATTCTTTTGTACCTCAGAGAATATGAATTTTATCCCTTTCTTATGCCAAGATTGCTCGCCAATATTCTTTGACACGTTAGCTGTGACTAGATCCTAATAAAGTTACTTCAGATTAAGAGTTTTATTATCGTATCTAAAGATTTTAGGATAAAAACTGAATGCTGTTTCAGTACTTTTACCTTCAACACACAATGATGGCGAGTAAAACCACGCAAGTCCAATTAAACCCCAAAGAAGAGTCATGAATACCTGTCAAGTCAAACAATAAAGAGTATTAGGATCTTCTGTGAGCTGAAGTCAAAAGAGCTTTATCCGACCGGGTGTCTCACTTGAATGGAGCTTTCCATGGCTTTTGCATTTGGCTGGTATGTTAGATGAAGCAGTTTAAATCTCTAAATATTTCAGCGATAGGAAACCAAATTTGTTGATCTTCGTTTCAGCCTATCAAAGTGATAGTGGAGTAATTACATCAAGCTATAATTTAAAAAATGAATACAAAGAAAGGTCAAAGAACAGTATCAGATAGAAGCAAAGAAAGTGACTTGAAAACAAAGTCAATGTTTGAAGTTCGTACCGAGCTACGTTTTTACAATGATATATATTAAGTCAGTTTGACGTTTGCCTTAAAGAAAATTGGAACACATCAAGTCTAACATGAATTAACAAGTATTTCGCAATTCTCTGGTTGCTAGCGTAATGACGACTTTGTTTTTCCGAAATTTATAAAAACTGTAGGTGTTTGTTTTGTAAACGTATTCGATATTACCTCACGTATTAGGTCTACTTGTTGAAGTAAGCGTGGTTTTATGTCCTTAAGCCCACACAGCTATTGTAAAATTCAGTAATCGGACATAATTCCATTGGAAAATTATTGCAGAACAAGGCAATTTTTCAGGTTTAATTAACTAGTCACCGCATAACCTATTGTAGAATGTTGTTGAAACGTTTGAATTTTTAATGAAGGTTCGTTGATCTTAAAAGAAACAATTAGATTGCTTTTGAAATGTGGGTAGTTAAGATGTATAGCTAAGGAGAAAGTCACTTTGTTTCCAAAAAGTCTTTGAAAACATTTAAGCTCTATCATATGGTGGGCTGCATTTGGTTTTCTTAAGTAAAAATAATAAATGAAGTTAGTAATTTCATTTTCATAAGACCTGATGCAAATGATATTTAAACCAATATCTCCATTTTTGGGCATAAAGAAATGATCCAAAAAAATAAAAACAAAATCAAACCATTTGCCCGCTGCCTCCCCAATAAACCTCATCGTGACCTTTAAATTCCCCAGCGTAGACATATTGGGCAAACTTTCAATTTGCACCCAGTTTAATCACTCTAAAAACATGGCAGTTATAGAAAGGAAAGATGAATTTGGGGTACTTTCATGCAAGCGATATACCGCACTTTCTTACGGTTACCGATGTAATAACTCGCTTTCAATGTTGGGAGAACAGATCTGGTAGTAATTTAATCTGATTGGCCAATTTGCCATTGTCGAGAGGAGTACAGAAAACGCTGCTAACGTCAACGTGTCACGCAACGGCCACGCACTGAAAGAATCGTTCTCCTTGACGTCGATAGCCGTGTGGTAAAAAAAAAAAACAACAACAAAGACAAATCGACAGTGATTTGGCTTGGTCCGTACTCCTAGCGCCAGCGATATTCATCACGGTAGTGGTCAAAATTCCCACCTTGCACTTCACGGACGTAAAAGCAGTGCTAAGTGGAAAAATAAAGATCCAGTCATCTTTGAATGTTTTTATCTAACGTTACCTGTTTCAGTTCTTTTCTTCTATCATCCCAACTGTTCGTTCAAATCAGATAAAACTTCACAGTTCAAGTTCAGATTCCTTGACATCCACTTGAGCGAGAAGGAGGGAAGGAGATGCATCGCTCTTTCCCTTGAAATTCATTTTTTAGCTGCTTAACATATCTTTCTGGCTTCTGATGCTATCTATTCTATATTGAACCACCATCCTACTCGAGCGGGGAATGGGAGGGGAGGGAGGGGGAGGAGTTACATTCCCCGTTTCGTGGTTTAATCAATGAACTTGAACCTAAACGCCTAAATTTTTCTGTTTTCAAAACCTCTCCTTTCGCCTCAAGCACACCAGAAAGCCAAAGGAAAGTAGCTTAGAGTTAATTCAGCAAAATCTTGTTGATAACGAAGAGTTCCATTTTGCTCATTTAAAAAAAAAAATATTTCCCATCGAAGCTAAAATTTACTGCACCAGACTTGCAGAAAAACTTCAAAAAGACTTCGTAAGCTCTTGCGGAGTTTTTACGCGTCAGTGTTCCGGCGAATAAGATGTCTGAGTCAATGATTGGGATAACAGGTTTTCGCACATATACAGTGTTACCCGAGGCATTCTATGATTTCTTTAAAAGACCACAATATTTCTCTCATATTTCTTGATACACCGTCACGAAGAATTCTTTTCGAAAGAAGAAATCTTTTCTCCACTTTTTCCCAATTTTTTGGAACGTTGGGGTATTTGTCCTTGTGTTTTCGCATGTAGGTGTTATTTTTACAAAATTCTAGCCATATTGTGTTTTTTGATTCAGGACCATAGAAAACCTGCTAGACAAAAGTGTGATCAATAATTCAACGTGGCTACATCATAGCTGTGAAAATTTTTTCAATTTCTTCCTAATAGGAATCAAATGTTGATAGAAGACCTCTAAAAATCTAAAAATCTCTAAGGTGAGTTTGGTGAAAAATGAATGAATGTTAGATTTGATCTTTTCCAAGTGCAGGTTTAGTTAATACGCGCTATTGTAATCCAATTTAAATAAGAATTTCGCTACGTAAATATTTGCTAACAGTAATCGAATTTTGTTTGTCAATGCCTGATGTAATATAAGTAGGGTTTTGTCGAGGATTTTTCTCTTTGTCCAAACTATAAAATACGCTCAAAATCAAATAGACGTCAACACTTGAAAGAACTTAGAGTCGTGGTCGTCAAATACATCGAAGCTCCATTGACATATGTTCCTAGACATTTTTGCTTAGATGAAAAGTAATCTAGTTCCTTATCACAAAGTAGCGTGGTTTTAGCTTTCTACCAACTTTGGAGACAAAACATTGAAGATAGGATAAACAAAACGTCTCCTAATATCTGTCAGGCTAAATTTCAGCGAATAACAACCTATAAAGGCTGGAAGTTTCTAAGGAAATTGTGGTGCTGCATTGGAGGGGGTAACAAGGTAATTCGGTTATATCAACTAAGTTGAAATTGTAAATTGGCCACTGTAAAAAGTAAAAAAGCTGACGTTTCGAGCGTTAGTCGAAACGTCAGCTTTTTTACTTGTTACGGTGGCCAATTTACAATTTCAACTTAGTTGATATAAACGAATAACAACTTAAGTGTGATCCGAATTGAAATACGTTTCTAAGGCTAGCGTTACCTCGAAATCCAACAAGCAACATGCAACACCAGAAATGGAAACCTCTATTCAATTCTAGAAACATGATTGATGCACGTATGATGCAGGTTTATCGAGGCAAATAAACTTGAGTTGATCCATATGCAGTACCAACTGCCTTTAAGATGGGTCAAATTGGTTTCGATATTTTGAAACACTAGTTATTCTATGAAACGATTTCATCACACTTGATGTTGTGATTTCTTCTTAAAGAATAAAGTAGAATAAACCTAAGATTAATTAAAATTGTTTCTTAACGGTTTCAATAATGCCAAGGTTACAGTCTAATTAAGAAAAATGATAACATCTTGTTAAGAAATAATTTTGCAATTGTTCTTTTAATGCATACTCTTCATACTGTTCTCAATGCATTGCTAAGGGCGCAGACGAGAAGAATTTGTTTTACGATCAAGAACTTTTTTAATTAACTGATGATCATTTTCCTTATCTCTGTGACCTTAATGTTTTATTCAGGGTGATATTGTCGGAAGAAATTAGATGCTAGTCACTCTTAAGGGCGAAAGGGTCAGCAGTAAAGAATAAAGACAACGTTTTGCTGTTGTTACATAGGATGAGACATGTTTGTTTGTTTATGAAGCGGTAGCAGAAACATTGAAAAGTAAACATCACAGCAGCAAATGCTAGGCTGTTCGGGAATATTTTTCTCACGCAAGAGGAAAAAACTTTTTAAGGATTATAAACACAGTAGCATCCATTTGGCGCAGAAATATGCACTGATATTTTGTTTGTGGAAATTTTTCCAGAGCGAACCTCTAGAAAAACTGTGAACGTCAAGGTTATTAATTATTTATCTTGCTGTTGAGACAATCAAAATGCACCTTTATAGCGTTAAAAATAAAGCTATGTATTGTTCATGTCTTTTGTCAAGGGGTAAATAGAATACCCGTTTCATAAATGCCTCTGTCACCATCCTGTCAAAAAGAAAGCATAGACCTGTTAACGGAGAGCAGTAAAATGCAAAGTAAAAATAAAAGATACACACTTCACTTTCAAACGAAGAAATTTCTAAACCGGAAAGGTTTGAAATGTTTATATAGTTTTTTTTCGGTGAAATCTGGTATGCTTGTATACAGAGGTCTGTATTTGTTTCGCTAATCAAGGATCTCTGCGCGAGGTTTGGACCAGCACGTGTACCTTTTGATTTCTTTTCTTGATGGCAGTAATCAATGGCTCTAAAGAGTAGACTTCGCATACTTATAACGATAACGGTACTGATCAGTTGCAGTTGAAGAGAAAGGGTCCTAAGAAGGCCCTAAGTATATTTCAAGCAAACGTAACTGAAGCTTCAAGTAAAAAATTTCTCCTTCTTCAATCTCTTAAGGGTATATCATAACTTTACAATATTTATTTGAAGATATCTACTAGAGGATTGTACATGCGGTATTTGTCAAAGCATGTAAATAGTCCATGATTGTATTTTTCCCTCCTCCATTTTAGAATCTAGGGGATAAAGGAAGAAGCACCGTCTCTCAAGAGAGAGCACCATGATCACCCTGAGACTATTATGGTTGAAGTTATTGCTCGCAAATCTATGGTTTAGTGGTGAGTGTTAAGTGGTATGATACTTATGAGTAATGCGCTTAAGCTTCAGACCGAAGCAGCTATGGGAAGACTTATTTGCCAAAGTAGTCGCTAGGTGAGACACTTTTACGATGTCTCCCTCCACCAGGGAGTATATGCACGGGTACTGCAGCGGAGAGTGCTTGGGAAACCAGAAAATATGTAGGTAAAATTCTCAATATATCCTCGAATAACAAGTAAGTAAGTAAGTAAGTAGGAAAGTAAGTGAGTAAGCAATAAGAATGATAATAATAGGAGTCAAAAAACTATCTAAAAATGAAAAATAAATGGCATTGTAGACATAAAGAATTTCAATATTGTAAATAATATTACTATTGGTCAGGTAGTATTCCAATTGTATAACATATGGCTTGTAGTGTAAGTATCATTGAGTAATTGTCATAGCCATTGGTAAGCTGAGGTTTAGCAGTTCGTTTGATTTATTTAAAACAAAGGAAAACGTGGCCTACGAATAGCTCGTGTGTGTCACACTAAAACTCTTATTTCCTGTTCGTCAAGTACATTCGCAACCGCCCTACACTGGTGGCCCTCAAGGTCCAAGGCCTTACTACTTGGATGAGTTGTTTGAACCTGGATACCAGCCACGCCCGCCGCCACAGGCAATGTATCATGAGAACATGCTCAACATTCCTGCACAGATGAGGATACGCCAACAATGGAACATACCACAACCGCGCTTTCCTAAGCATTATCAGCAACACGAGCCAAACACGGAGAATGATGAGTTTTCGCCTAAGACTGTTAACATTTCCAAAGGTAAAATGCTAGAAATGATAATAAAGTCTTCATATTTACTTAGGTACCTACGTTTATGATTGATTGACCGAGACGGAATTGATCTAGCTTTGCAATTTTTATTTGTAGCTTTTTTTTGTTGTCTATTCACTATCCTGTCTAAAATTCGGCTTGGGTTCTCTGTATATTTCTGCCTGTCCGTCTGTTTATCTCTTGTCTGAATCTATCAGTCTATCGATGTGTTTTTCTTTCTGTTTACATGTTTGTATTTTATCAAGTAATTTCAATGGCGTTAAAACTCAAATAGTAATCTGTATGATATGATCAAAGATGCAGAAATTCAAAATACGACCGCTGATCTGCACGGAAATGATACCAATCTCACAAATGATGCGAATCCTGGCGTGCAGAGCGATATAAGAGGAATTTTCAGCTCTGACAAAGGTAATATTCCTTAGATATTGTATACATTATCAATAAGCTAAGCTGGCTTCTACCTAGCTAAACTACTTCCTATATACAGCAGCAATATGCATAAGCGTGTTATTTATTATTCTAGAGGGGCGCAAATTTTCTGATAAACGGAATTTTCCCGAAATTGGCAGTAACGTCGCAATCTGATTGGCTAATTTGCCATTGTTGATATGTGTAGACAACGCCGCTCGTGTCAAAATGTCATGCAACGTATCACGCACTGAATAAAATCGTTTTATTTGACGTCGATATTGTAGTGAACCTAACCAATTGCTAGTGGTTTAGCATAGTTTGTGCATTTTTTAACAAAAATAATCGTCAACATAGCGGTCACAATTTGTTTCGGACGCACTTCACTGTGCCTGGAGAGTTCATAACATTTTTCCAACTGTGATGACGAATGTCGTCGGCGATAAGAGCCCAGAACGCACTTAAGTACTGTCAATTGGTTAATTTTACACCTCAGAATAAGTAATCAGAGATAAAGGACGCCGTGGCCATATGGCTAGTATTCTGGGCTCCGGGCCGCGAAGTTTGGGTTCGAGACCTACCATTGTGTTACGTTCTTGAGCAAAACACTTTACTCTCTCAGTGCCCATCTCCACTCAGGCTTATAAATGGGTACCGGTGATATATCAGGGAAGCCTGATTAAATGCTGAGGGATAACCTCGATGGATTGGCACTCCATCCAGGGTGGGAAAGAAGTAATACTCCTGGAAGCTTCGTGCTATGTCAACCAGTGTAAGCTCCGACTGGATAGATCGCTTAACTTAAGCTAAGACTTTCCCTTCATTAAAGGAGATTTGGTAAAGTACGCAATAGTTGTCATGATGAAGTCAAAGTCATCACCTAGTTCACAACAAATAAGTCTCCATGCAGGATAAGGGAATAAATGGTATTTTGGAACTTTTTTTCAGCACCCGTTTTGCACTTTAGCTTTGCTAATGTTAACGGAAAGTATGTCCTCGATGAAACTGAACAGGGCGCTACTGGAGCGCTCACTGGTCAGGTGACCTTGCAACAGTTCAGTCCCGTATGTGGAGGCGGGCTTCATTTTCAAAATGGAGCCTTGACAATGACCCCGAACAAACTCGCAAGCCTGATGAAGAAGGAAATGACGGTGGCTGCCTGGATTAAAGTGGAATCAGTAAGTCACGTAAACGTGATCTACGCATGCGTGGGTGGTGGCGTTGTTCATCTTTTGGAAGTGAGTAGCAAACAGGCTTCTTCCACAGGCGCTGTTCGCTGGTTATACAAGGATGAAAGTGGTCCAGGAACTGTATTTCAAGTTGAAACAGAGGCTGTAATCAGTCCAGGTTGGTTGAAAGAGTCTAAAATCGTTCCCACGCGCCAAATTTCAAGTACTTATTTCTGGGGATCTTTTCCTTCTTCCACTTCTTCATCATCATCATTATCAGCTTCTTCCTCTTGCTCATCCTCCTCCTCTTTTTCGCTTTTTCTGCATTTTCTTCTTCTTCAATTTCTTCTTTTTCTTCTTCCTCCTCCTCTTTTTTCTCCTTCTTAGTCTACTTCTTCCTCCTCTTTTTCTTTTCCTTCTTCTCCTTCAATTCCTCTCCTTTTTTTCTGTTTTTTCCTCCTTCTTTTCATCTTCTTTTTCTTCTTCATCATCCTCTTCTTGTTCTCTTTCTTCCTCAATTATTATTCTTCTTTTCCTTCCTCCTACTCTTCCCCTCCCTCTACTTCATCCTCTTATCCTTCCTCTTCTTCTTAATCCTCTTCTTCTTCTTCTTCTTCTTCTTAGTTTTCCGCTTCTTCCTCCCCCTTCTCCTCTCCTTCTTCTATTTCTGCTTCTTTCCCTTCTTTTTCATCCCCCTCCCCCAGTTATTTCTTCTTTTTCCTCTTCTTCCTGCTCCTCCTCCTCCTTTTCCTCCTCCTCTTCTTTTCTTCTTCTTCTTATTTATCTTCCTCTTCTTCTTCTCCCTCATCTTCTCCTTCATCCTCTACTTCTTCTTCTTCTTCTTCTTCTTCTTCTTCTACTTCTTCTTCTGCTATTTATTTTTATTTTTATTTTTTCCTTCTTCTTCCTCCTCCTTCCACTTCTACGTCTTCTTCTCTCTATTATTTTTTTCTCTCTGATTACGGCCGGATGGGTTTTGAGTTGTCAACCGAAATATTCGCCAAATAACTTCTCTTTGCTCAATTCAAGGTCCCTGGGCGCACATCGCTGCAGTTTATAACGGTGGAAAAGGAAAGCTTAAAATTTTTGTTAACGGCCGGAAACTTCTTACCTCGAGTAACGTCGCTAAAGTGAACCAAATCTCGTTGGGTCAACAAATGATTATAGGAAAGTTTCAGGACTCAGCTGCGGCCAACTCCCAAATGTACCTACAGGGAAACCTGGACGAATTTTACGTTTTCAACGTTGTAAGAGATGAGTCTCAAGTTGTGAAATTGATGGGAAAATGTGATTTTTCAACAGGAGGAGGAGGTAAGTTACTGTTCCAGAGAATTGAGTGTGACGTTTTTCCAAAATCAGAGTCACTAGCCCTAATTGGTATTTTGTAAAGGAGAAGTTTACCGTGTGTATAGGTACATGAAAAAATGTTGGCAGCCTTTTAAACATAAACACAAGCCCCTTTGATAAAAGTGAATAAAAGAGATGTATATCTGACTGATTCACTAATGATTTAGGAATCATTAAAGGCTTCCAAAGGGACCGCATTTCCCTTTAGTCAAAACATTAAGCATTGAATAGATAATTAAGGGGGCAACATTGCAGCTAGTTTATTAATGATAAAATTATGGTAACCTTAATTTCATAAAAATTCTGTTAACATTTTCGCTAATTATAAACGTTATTTAAAACAATAATGTAGCCTCCATCAAGAAAGAACAAGTATGTAAAGAAACATTTCACTTAATTTCCTTACTCCTTTACCAAGAAAATACTAATTTTTATCAGGATTGATATCGTTGTATTTGCCTTCTGCAAGTCGCCCGATGCAACCTTTCATTTGATATTTTCTTGCTTCACGTAAAATTGGTACGGTATTAATAATTGCATTAATTTTGCATCGCATTTACGTGAAACAGCAAACGTTAACTTGTCCTTTCACGTTTCACATAAATAACAAAAACTTGCTGCTTTAGCTTCGGTAAGCTCACTTTATCGTAGAATTGAAGGCACCCTCGAATGACTCGCAAGGAATAGTTTTGGTGCCCTTTTTCCGACAATTTACTTTTTCAGTCATTTTGTTTATGTGTAGGGTCGACTTCCAGTGGGCTTGCCGTTCATCTCACATTCGATCAAATCCAAGAAAAACTCATTATTGACAACTCTCCAAAACTTAACCACGGCACGCTTGTGGGACAATACACGCAGACTATGTACAGCCCCCAGTGCAAAATGGGTATCCGATTAGGAGGAGGACTGGGACACATCGAGTTGGATGGAAACAAACTTGACGAAGAGAAGAAAGATGCAATGTCTATTTCTCTGTGGCTGCGTGTTGTAGATAACCAGCGTGAAAATTCAATTTATGGATGTTCTGGGGGCAAGGGAGTCCATTATTTGAGTATCAAACCAACGGCCGCCCCAAACGCGGTTGTTAACTGGATGTACAAGACGCCTGATGGAAAGGTTGTGTTTCAAATCAGTTCTGAGCCTGCTGTACCCTCAGGTCAGAACAAGCGTTGAGTCTACATATATATATATGAAAACACAGCTGTAAAACGTCTACCCATGTGCGAATGTTGTAATGTTTAGATGGTGTGTGTTCAGGACGTTGAAACCGTGTTGTCTCGCACCAGACACGCCAGTTAGTTAAAACCGTCAATTTTTTTTTTTTTTTTTTTTTAGAGCTCCAAAAAAAAAAGTAAACAGATAGAATAACGTTAATCAGCAGGATACCCGAACTTAAACATGCTTTGAGTCTGAACAGACTCAAGTTTCCTTTCCCCTGCTTCGTTTCCCTTTACAGATTTCTTTGAACGTTTTAATTAATTTTTTTCGCTTATTTTCTGCCCCAGAAACTGTTTCCTATGATTTCCTTTTAAGTTTTGCGTGGTAAATTGGCGCGCGGCCAGCCAGAATTAATCCCTTGCGCATGCACAATGACTGACCACTGTGCTAGATATGTGTTGCGACGATCACAAAGCGTGGTATTTGCTTTGTATAACTACAATCGTTCTAAAGAAGATAAAAAATGGTATCGCATAAAATAATTGAGAATGTTACTCCGGTAAAAGTCTTAGGAACATTACACCTCACTAAGAACTAAAATCTCCTTACAGAAAAAAAATCAAAGAAAGGGGGTCGTCGCAAGTCTGATTATAGTATATTACAACGGTGCAATATGTATTACACGTGACGATTGATACTTTTTTAAGTTATCACTTTTTCATCTGAGAGGCACAAATCGCATGAAAATTTAAAAGAAATGAATCTATTTAGTGCTGTTGTTAACGAATATTTCCCAACCGGTTGTTTAAAAAAATTCAGATATCTTTTACTTAAATTACGTTACATAGGTCCACTTACTATATATATTATACTTCCCGAGCACATACTGACCCTTAATCTGCTATGATTTTTCTTCTCAGGAATGTGGACTCATATAGCTGCGGTTTACAATGGTGGGCTAGGAAAGGTAAAAATGTTTGTGAATGGTGAAAAGATTTTAACCACGACGAAAAGTGTTCAGAAACTATCCAGTGTGGGTTGGAGTTCTCCCATAGAAATTGGAAAATTTACCGGAAATCCACAAGCTTTCTTGAATGGATCTATTGATGAGTTGTACATATTTACTTCCGCTCTGATGCATGCTGAGGTCCAGGCCCTGATGGAAAAATGCGAATTTCCAACTGACAGTAAGTAATACCCTTACACTCGTAGGGAATAATGGCAGCATACATTCTTCACACAATTATAGAGACATGCGCATTAAGAACTCCCTCCCCTCTCATTCTACCCTCCCTCTCCAGCTTCACTTTATGCAAACGAACGCGAGATATGCTCCGAATGGGTGGGTCACTTGGCTCAAGGACAGACTTAACTTATTTGTTTTTGCTTTTTTTTTTTTTTTATCAGGTACGTTGTATTTCGTGGACGTCAAGACTGGAGCTGAAACATTCTCCGGAACAAAATCTCGTGTGTTCTTCAAACTGATCGGCGAAAACGGAGCTCACGGAGAGGAGGAACTTGGGCAGGATTTTTCCAAAGGAAGGTAGATTGAAAAAAAGTTACATTTGAAAGAGCAGTTGCTCGGTGATTTCTAACGAAAAGACTTCAACGCACCAATCTTCTCTTACTCTCTTGCATTTGATTCCAAGCTAAGTAATTATGTGCTTTTTTTGTTCAAAAAATTAAAAGAAACTTCAAATCATATGGTTTCTTGCCTTTTAATTTTTTTGTCTTGTTAACAGTACTAGACAATTTAATGTCTACGCAGCCAACGTTGGCAGACCGGTCCGAATCAGCATAAGAAAGGATACGAAGGGCATCTTTTCAACAGACTGGTATTTAGAAAAAGTAAGTTCAAAATAGATAGCAGGTGATTTCATCTTAGATGAGTTGTATCGTTGATTATTTTGTCATTTCCGCGGCGAAATGTCTGGGAGTCACATCGAAAAGGATTTATCTTCCGCTCAGTGGGCATCACAAAGTGTCCTCATTGATAGAAGTACAACACAACATACATCGTTGTGACAAATGTATACGAGTATGTGAGTACAGAGTCCAATATCATGTTGTGTAATGTGTGCACCGAGAAAAAATAAAAAGTGTTTGAGAATTTTTTTCATTCAAGGTCGTTGTCACCGTGGAAGATCGGACGGATGGGCCGTCATTTATATTCAATTGTAACTGCTGGATCGGGAAAGACAAAAACGACCTTCAAAAGTATCTCCTTCCTGAGAAGCATGGTAAGTGCTTTGCTTAATTGTCATTCCTGTCTAGAACTAAGATCGATTTCAGTATCAGAGCAGCTACGCACATATCCCTCCCCTAACTCAACATTAGCCTAGCTTGTCATCAGTTGACTGTCAGGGGAGGGGTTGGTCCACAGCTTTCCAGATACGAACATTAATTTATTCAAGATGACTTCAGCAAACATCATGAAAATTCTTTGTAAGGAAGTTGTTACGAATTTCCCTGGATCTTGTTGTAGATTTTATCCCTAATCTTTTTTTCTCGTTATTTTGGATAAATGTTATCGTAGTGGACGGAAACTGGTCCCCCTGGAGTCAGTGGAGTGGCTGTGGTTCAGGTTTATGTGGAGGAAATAAGAAAGTTCGAACCAGATCATGTACTAACCCCCACCCCACTGGGGGAGGGAAATCATGCCCTGGAAATTCATTTGAAGAAGGAACCTGTCCAAGTAGGTTGAAAAAAAAAAGAGATGAACTTCCTTTTACTAAGACAATGCTATCCGCGTATAAATGTGTATGGTGTCGAATTTTAAATCTCAAGGAATAAGAGGACGAGATATTTCAACCAAGCAGTGATCTCCATATGCTTCTCTTTGATCCCTTGAGTTATACATCCAGCATTTGTATGCTTTTTAATCTACTGCCAAATAAGTTGTAAAACTCGACTTCTATTTTTCTCAGACATCAAAAAACCAAAGGATTTTTTTGCATCATCATGTGATTACTCCAGATCTCTCTTCCTTTCCTAACGATCATCTCGCTTATCTGTGCATATTCATGATTACAGCTGATGGTGGTTGGGGTGCATGGGGAGGCTGGTCTGCCTGTAGCAAGACATGCGGAGGTGCCATGGTAACACGAGTACGAGAATGCAATAACCCTAGCCCAAAGAATGGCGGAAAGCCATGTGAACCAAAAGCTGCTAAAGAAACCAAGACCGACTGCGATCAACCTTGCGAAGGTAATAGAAAACCTTGGGCTCGCGAAAAGCTTGTTGTTGATGTTGGAGTTGTTTTTGTTTTTGTTTTTACCAAAAAACTCGCAAAATCAAAAGGATCGATAAAGAATAACAGTAATTCTAAATAATTTTGTAGTTGGCCCTTTGGATGGTCATTGGTCCGACTGGTCAGAGTGGACTGCCTGTGCAAAATCATGTGGTGGAAGCAAAGTCACACGGACAAGAAGCTGTAGCAATCCTCCTCCTCAGAGGGGTGGAGAGGAATGTCCAGGGAAAGCAACTGAGACTTCCTTCGACTGCGAGACACCCTGTCCAGGTATGTGTGCGAATAGCTACATGGCTACATACTGCGTTATTCGTTTCTAACCGATTCACATGTTTAAGCAGTACTTTCACATAGCTGCAGTTCGCTGTGCAGTTATGGTACCTGAAATTTCAAATAAACGTCGTGTATGCCTCGTCCAAAGGGAGTGAGTTATCAGGCGCTAAAGAAAAGTTTCACCGAAGCATTTCGTTCAGGACCTCGCCCGTTCTCTCCGTCGCCTCCGTCGGGGTTTATTAACGGGGCCTTCTTTGAGCAAAAATTGAAAAGAAACCCTACCTTTTTATTTTAAAATGTGTCACCTGGACCATTTTTTTTTCTGATTATCATTTGTACACTTGCAGTAATTACTAAACTTATTTTTACTACACTACATTAATACTTATGGAATACATTTATCATTGTGATATTTTAAAGTTCCTGGTAAGTGGGGAGACTGGGAAGAGTGGTCCGTTTGTAGTGCAACTTGTGGGACTGGAAAAAAAGTTAGAACAAGAGAATGCAATAGTCCCGCTCCACAGTATGGAGGAGAATGTCCTGGGAACGGACAAGAATCGGAATCATGCGAGATAAGGAAATGTCCAACAAGTAAGCTTAAAACTTTCTGATAATGATCATAATGGTAATGATGATATAAGGGAGAAAGACCCTTTTCGATTGGGTGTAGTAGAACCAAAACCTAAGTAATCACAACAACCAATGGGAATTTTGGTAAATATCGTAAAGAAAAAATTAGATATCAAAGCAAACACAGGAAAACTACCTGACGCACTGTGAAACAAGTGCACAGGAGGCGGATGTGGAAATCATTTCAACATATGACTGGTTGAGTGGGAGACCAGGAACTGTTCAGACCAATCATGTAGCGAAGAAATCCCCGACTACTTTGACGCTCAGTTGTGAATTAGTAATAAGGTCTTGGCTATAAGCAGTTTGGACCTCCTCCTTTCGAAAACGTCAGCTGATAGGAAAATAATTACCTTCGACCGAGTCTTCTTTCCTTAAATTCAAAACCGTTTTGTTTCAATATCAACGAGGACAGGGAAGAACTAAAGTTTCTTCGTGATTTTTTAGTTTTGTTTTACACAGCTTTCAGGGTTCTTCGCAGCTTATTTCAAAACCTCATCAATGGATATACACCTACATACCAGAATGCTGTTTTAATGCCAGCGTGTTTCATTGCAGAACAAAATTCTTCCCTAAGTTCAATTTTGAATGTTGATTTGTCCTAAACAGATGTAATAAACGGAGCATGGGGTGCATGGGGTCCCTGGGGTACCTGCTCTGAGAAAGAGGTCTGCAACAGGGGAATACAACTACGCACTCGCCAGTGTAACAACCCTGCGCCACAGAATGGCGGAGAGTTATGTCCGGGAACTGGGTCCGAAAGCCAAGAGTGTCCGAAGACGAACTGCAAAGGTACGTGTTAATTTTCTTTTTCTTGAAAAGGAGGGGCAACGGATTTTGTGCGACAACCATGAACAGGATGATTTGGGATCTGAGCGCCCCTGCCCTCGAAAAACGATCAACCTCGTAATTTTTCCTGTTCCAGTTGATGCAGTAGTCAGGTTAAGACCCAAACACGAACCTCATATTGAATTAAACTGTATAGATTGACCTTTTTTACACCCCAACGTCAGTATTCATATTCCCTATGCTGTTCTCCATACAATTCAAAAGAAACTGACAG